CTGAAACTGCAAAACATTGACCATCTAACCAATTTTCTATCTTTAATAATAAGAAAGTTACCCATGCAACCCCACCCGATCTGGGACACACTGTACAACCTTCCTTTTTTACCAAAAATCGACTACACCAAAATTTCTCGGGAAAACACTTTTTCTAATTAATTTTGGTGCGTAGGATCCAAAACCATTCGTACTTTTTCGATTAGACTTCTCAATCAAAAGTTATAGACTAGAAACCAATTTCGAAAAAAATTCAAAAGGCTGTAACTTTTGAACTAGTAGCCCAATCTTGGAACTGTTTGAAATTATGGATTCTACAGGCCACATTCTATAAGAAAAATTTCTTTCCGGGTCGATCTGAGACAATTTTTTTTTCGGGGCTCAAAAAAAGGCAGTGTATAACCTTCCTTTTTTACCAAAAATCGACTACATCAAAATTTCTCGGGAAAACACTTTTTCTTATTAATTTTGGTGCGTAGAATCCAAAACAATTCGTACTTTTTCGATCAGACTTCTCAATCAAAAGTTATAGAAACCAATTTCGAAAGAAAATTCAAAGGGCTGTAACTTTTGAACTAGTAGCCCAATCTTGGAACTGTTTGAAATTATGGATTCTACAGGTCACATTCTATAAGAAAATTTTTTTCCCGGGTCGATCTGAGACAATTTTTTTTTCGGGGCTCAAAAAAAGGCAGTGTATAACCTTCCTTTTTTACCAAAAATCGACTACAACAAAATTTCTCGGGAAAACACTTTTTCTTATTAATTTTGGTGCGTAGAATCCAAAACAATTCGTACTTTTTCGATTAGACTTCTCAATGAAAAGAACGTTTGCCATGCAAAGGCGCTGTGTGCGGAATATTGTAAATGCTGGCTACAGGGAGGACTGTCGCAATATCTTTAAATCGTTGCAAATTCTAACAGCTCCATCACAATAAATTTTTGACTGAGTTTTGTTCGTTCATAGAAATAAATCAAATTATATAACGCATAAAAATGTTCATTCTTACAATACTCGGAACAAAAATCAAATATATAATGATAGATTACGATTAAAAACGTCGCAGGCGGCACATAATTATTGGGGCCCTGTGTTGTATAACCGTTTACCTTCTTGTTTCCAATCTCTAAATGAACAACTTTTTTCCAAGAAACTTAAAACTTTTTTACGCGTAAATCCAATATATAACATCCAAGAGTTTTTAGATAACGACCTCAAGACTTTAACGCCTTAAGTTTTTTTTTGTTGTTTGTATTTTTTTTTTTTTTGGTTTAATTGTTTTATTTCTAAATGATTTTTCATGTTATTTAATATTGTTCTATATGTCTCATGTATTTTATGTTTATGTGTTATACGATTTCGACGGACGAGTGTAAGCATTTTTTAAATGTATTAACACAATAAATTACTTACTTACTTACTTACTTACTTACAATCAAAAGTTATAGACTAGAAACCAATTTCGAAAAAATTCAAAGGGCTGTAACTTTTGAACCAGTAGCCCAATCTTGGAACTGTTTGAAATTATGGATTCTACAGGCCACATTCTATAAGAAAATTTTTTTTTCCGGGTCGATCTGAGACAATTTCTTTTTCGGGGCTCACAAAAAGGCAGTGTTATAACCTTCCTTTTTTACCAAAAATTGACTGCACCAAAATTTCTCGGGAAAACACTTTTCTTATTAATTTTGGTGCGTAGAATCCAAAACAATTCGTACTTTTTCGATCAGACTTCTCAATCAAAAGTTATAGACTAGAAACCAATTTCGAAAAAAAATTCAAAGGGCTGTAACTTTTGAACTAGTAGCCCAATCTTGGAACTGTTTGAAATTATGGATTCTACAGCCCACATTCTATAAGAAAATTTTTTTTTCCGGTCGATCTGAGACAATTTTTTTCTTGGGCCAAAAAAAAAGGCAGTGTATAACCTTCCTTTTTTACCAAAAATCGACTACACCAAAATCTCTCGGCAAAACACTTTTTCTTATTAATTTGGGTGCGTAGAATCCAAATCAATTCGTACGTTTTCGATCAGACTTCTTAATCAAAAGTTATAGACTAGAAACCAATTTCCCGAAAAATTCAAAGGGCTGTAACTTTTGAACTAGTAGCCCAATCTTGGAACTGTTTGAAATTATGGATTCTACAGGCCACATTCTATAAGAAAAATTTTTCCGGGTCGATCTGAGACAATTTTTTTTGAGGGCCTCAGAAAAAGG